GAGGAGGCTTGAAAACAGTGTGCTGAGTGAAATAAATGAGACATAAAAACATACAATATCGTACAAACCCACTTGTGTATATGAAATAACCAAAAATAGGCAAACGCATAAAGACAAAAGTTGACTGGTTGGCTACCAAGCACTGGGAATCAGAGAGCTGCTGTTTCAGGGGCACTGGGTTTCTCTAAGGAGGATGAGAATCAGGGAGACAGATTGTGGGGACAGCTGCCCAACTTGGGGAATGTAATCCACATCATTGTAAATGGTTAATAGGGCAAATGTTTTCTTAAAATGTATTTTATCACAATAAAAACGTGTTTGTTTCATTAGGTGTGTTAAACATGAAGTGGAGTGGAGGCATGTGAGAGTGGGTGTAAAGAATAACCACAGAGATTTCACACCCAGTGGCGACAAGAGGAAGAAACACCAGATAGTAAAGCCATAGAAAGATAATACAAGAAAACCGAGAGCCTGGGTTATATGCAAGGATCTGCAACAAACACTAAACTAGAAAACCAAATTCAGCAGCATATAAAAGAATTAAACACCACGATCAAGTGGGATTTATCCCAGGTAAGGCAAGGGTGGTTCAGCAAGGAGAACAATATGTTATCCATTAACAGAATAAAGTTGGGGTGGGGACTCCCACATGATCATCTCAATGGATGCCGAGAAGGCATCTGAAAAAATCCAACACTCGCTTACTATAAAACACACTTTTGATAAATCAGGACTAAAACGTAACTTCAACGTGAAAAGACCATAAATGAATTAACCCACGACGACTAGCGGTAAGTAATGTGCTGTGTAACTGCATACAGAGTGATTATCTGGATGTTTTATAGGCAGTGATCAGGGGTTGTTCTGAGCAGGTCACATTTAAGTTAAGATGCACAGACTAAGAAGTTAACTATTCAGGGTAAGGGAAACAGCATTCCCAACAGACAATCTAGGGAGGAAGCGAACTGGTGACATCCAGGCACGTGAAGGATCAAAAGAGGGCGAGTGAGGCTGGACTGAATGGGAGAGGAAGAACGCGGCTAGGAATAAAGTCAGGGACTAGGTTGCGAAGGATTGGCAAGCTGGGGCAAGGAGTTTAGATTTCATACTAAACGCCCTGGGAAAACCATTGACAATGTAACTAGAGGAATGACATGGTCCGATTTACATTCTAAAGTAATCCCTCTGGCTACTATGATAGAAAAGGGGACGTGAAGCCACTTGGTAGTGGTCTCAGTAGATGATGATGATGGTGATGGTGGTGGTGGTGATGGAAGATTGAACAGATGTGACATATATACAGTCCTCCCTTAAAACAATGCCCATTCATACACAATAGTCCTTTATAGAATTGTAAGGCAAGTATGAAGTATATGCTATTATTACTCATTACAGAGTTGTCTTCAAATCCCAAAACAAGAATAGGCAGAGGATCTAATTGCTTCCCCAGCTCAGCACATAAAGGTGGGTGTGGCGCGTGGGGTGGGGGAACGGGGTGGTTTCAGGAGCATTCTACCTCAGCATGAGCTTGCAATCCAGTCATTAAAAGTTTCTACAAATGTTTTGAAAAGGATGATGGCAACATATGTACAAATGTGCTTGACACAATGGATGGATGGATTGTTATAAGAGCTGTAAGAGCCCCCAATAAAATGGTTTAAAAAATTTTCTACAGTAAAATTTGTTAAATTTCAACTCCCCTTAATTCTCACTACAGGGACTCAGTCGGACCTTTATTGCCTTACAGCTGAATTACTATAACAAGCTCTGGATTACTACAACATTCTGGGGGCTTCCCTTATTCATCTTCTGCCGTACGCAGATCAATCTTCCTGGAAAGCCATTTCATTCCATTATTGTCAGTTCAAAGATTTTTGTTTGTCCGTACTGGTTCCCCAACTGCCTGGGGGCCGGGGGGGTCCAGTGTAAATTCTAAGCCTGACATTAGGACGAGAGATACGGCATAGAGTTGATTGTACAGGCTGGGCACTGTACAATGAATGGTAAGAGGCACCGATCAGGCCTCAGTCACATTTGCTGCTGGAGTTATAGAGCCCCCACGACCAGGATCTGACGGTGCACTCTGGGGTTACAGTGCTGGGCTGCCAGCCAAAGGGTTCGCAGTTTGAACCCACCAACCGCCCCAAGGAAGACGTATCAGACTGCTTCCATAAAAATTACAGCCTTGGCAACTCTGTGGGGCCATTCGACTGTATCCTATAAGGCTGCAATGAGCTGGAATTCACCGAGGGCAAAGGGTACCAGCATTTTCACCTTTTCTTCATTTACTGCTTCCTACATGGTCACTAGCTTTCATGCAAACTGATCTCTACACAATGTTCTGCTTTTTTTTCCTATCTTGGGCCACTGCTCATTCTTTTTGACCCTTCAAACAAGCTTTCCTCCTCTCTGTCCACCAATCCAAAGCTTCTGGACAAGAGTACTCCTGACTCATCTTTTCCACAAAGGAACTCTTTCCTAACTCCTTTCCACATTGTCTTTCATTTACTTTGTATTCCTCCCCAGAATTTATTATGTAAACCATCTCGTCTAGGCCTGGTTGCCTCAGGGTGCGTGGTGCACAGTGCTAAGGTCATGCATTTCATGTCTGCTTATCTAAGTTTCACCTTGTTCCATGGACAAAGTGTACAGCTAACTGCAGTCAGCCATCTCACAAGCAAGAGTGACCGTGGAAAAAAAGGGGAGGGGAGGTTGCAGATAAAGGCAAACGAACCATTGCTTCAGGTTTATAGTTAAACTCTCCTATTCAATTTTACATAATAATATTGTTCAATATCTCATAGAATGACATCTCCTAATAGGTTCATTCCACATATAACAAAGTGTTTGTTTTTTTTTTGGCTTCTCGTGCATGTAGTGCTCCAATA